GTGTTGGTAGTAATGGTGATGGCAGTGTGGTGGTGTTGGTGTTGGTAGTAATGGTGATGGCAGTGTGGTGGTGTTGGTGTTGGTAGTAATGGTGAAGGTAGTGTGGTAGTGTGGTTGTGTGTTGGTAGTATTGATGGTAGTGGTGTTGGTAGTAATGGTGTAGTGGTAGTAGTAGTGTGGTGGTGTTAATGATGGATAGTAGTATTTGTTGTAGTGATGATGATGGCGGTGGTAGTAATGGTGATGGCAGTGTGGTGGTGTTGGTGTTGGTAGTAATGGTGAAGGTAGTGTGGTAGTGTGGTAGTGTTGGTAGTATTGATGGTAGTGGTGTTGGTAGTAATGGTGTAGTGGTAGTAGTAGTGTGGCGGTGTTAATGATGGATAGTAGTATTTGTTGTAGTGATGATGATGGCGGTGGTAATTAAGACACCGTATTGTTGACTGTACATCATATTTGCTGCAGGTGATGCCTTTGAGAGCCAGTAACCTTCAACAAACAGATCTCAAACACATTGTCCTTCTTGGTGACAAAGACTATCTAGAGAGAGAGGTATGGTACTAACTATCGAGGCGCCATAACATGAAAAGCAGCTGCATTTACTCAGATATGAAGTACGATTGTTGCTACCACAGTGTTTCGGTTTTCCATGTTATTTCAGTTAAGCTCATTGATTTGCGTTATTTTTCGTAGTGGGAACAAATTGGTAGTTTTGATAACATCTACATCCTACCGGTAAGTACATGTTGTCCATGTCTGTTGGAAACCAACTCCAAATGGACTTAACATTTTTTTTTTTTTTGTAATTTAGGGTTCGCCGTTTTGTCGGTCGGATTTACGAGCTGTCAACTCTAATCTAGCAGACATGGTGGTGTTCCTGTCCGCTACTACAACGAGCTCCTTCTCTTCTGATCCTAAACTTGCTGATAAGCATTCCATTCTTGCCTCGTTAAACCTTAAGGTAACGCTTGATGTATGCTTTTTGATTTACTGCTGTCTTATTAAACATGCAAACTCTGTAGCTACGAGCTGCACACTGAAACTGATTTGTTTTTTCGCTGCCTCCAGTCAAAAATATAAAAGGTACCGACTGACTAGTTTTGATTCATGGCAGCAAAAGACCAAATTTCAGCGTGCGGCTCTCAGCTTGCGAGTTTACATGTTTATGAAAATAGCATTTTCACATTATATTGCTTTGAGAAGTGGTATAGTAATAATACTATATGTCAGAGTAACAGTTCCGCGTTGTTACATTCCAGGCTATGTCATTTGACGATGCAGCAGGGCTTCTAAGTCAATCCACTAGAGAAGCGTTTATTGGTTTACCCGATGTGTCTCTAGGTAGTCCTAACATCCAAAGACGAGGATCTGCTTTTGGATGCAATATCCCCATGTTAACAGAGATCGGTAAGTAATCCCATTAAGAACAATCTGGGCACGTCATCCAACGTCACCAAGTTGAGTGCTACCATTTTATTAGACTAGGATATCGAAGATGATCATGACGGTGATAAATATGTATGAAGCAATCATGATATTAGCCTGCGTAGCGGCGTTTTGGGGCGGGGGAGGGGACGAGGAAGGGGAGGCTGAGGAAGAAAGGGAGAATGATATTGATATTGATGATATTAATTACATTGTTTCTAGTATTTGACCATAACGTACAGTACTTGGATATCGACGATGATGATGATGATGACATGGAGTTGTATCTTAGTCAACCGTTTGCTTGTGGAACGACGTTCACAGCTTCTGTTCTTGATTCACTCGTCAGTTCAGTAAGTACACTACATGCAGCGCTGCATGGTCTGTCTTGATTCACTCGTCAGTTTAGTAAGTACACTACATGCAGCCCTGCATGATCTGCCTGGATCATCCACTTATTTCTTGTTGGTGTAACTTCATCTTCTCTCTCTCTAGACTTACTACAATGGAGACATCTTGACCTTGGTTCGTAACTTGGTGACCGGGGGGGTTAACCCAGTACTTGAGGAACAGCTAGCAGAAGGAGAAGGATTAAAAGGAGGATATGAAGTATCAGAGACGTCGGAGATTAGATGCAGGTGTAAGATTTCCCAGATATCTCTGTACGACGGCCCTTTGGCAGAATTTGGGGTGAGTATTTAAATGATAAGTTCATGATGACGTATGCATGTATATACCTCAAGATGATATGTAAACCTTTTGTTGTGTAGAATGGCGGTCAGTACGGAGAGATGTTTCTGCATGCTCTTCGAGACTACTCCATGATCTGTCTTGGTGTTTATCGGTTCAGAGATTCCAACAAGTTGTCTTCTACACCTTCATCCAAGAGATACGTCATCGCTGTTCCGCCCTATGATTTCCTCCTTCAGTCCACTGACCTGGTGTTTGTACTGGCTCACTCTAATGACCAGCTCAACAAACAGTTTTCTAAAGAGTGATCATCATTTATGTAAAGTAATTGCATGGGCACAATGTATATTACAACTAGACACCAAAACTACACGACATCCTCTAAGTGGAGGATAACCAAGAGTGATAGTTCATACCACACACATATGATCACATGCATATGTTATGAAGACTACAGAAACACCGTCACGTTCTGAGTTAGGAATTCATTGCACTAAGCCTTAATGTTCACATGATGATTGTATTCAAAGAACAAGAAATTCGCTGACACATGTGATCAGTAGCATAACAGCTGGATGGCAAACCAGTTTAATACCCAAATATCTACGTTCTATCTAGGTTCTGGATCACGTGTGTTTGTTTGAATTCCTTTCCAGATTTGCTCTAATACTGATGAGTCGGACTGTTTACAATGCATGAAATCGAATGTTTAAATGAGCAAGGGCCGCACCCATCACTTGAACAATGGCCCATTTTTTATTACTTAAATATTTTTACGAGGGAAAAAAGGTTCTCTGATGGGTTAAAAATTGTCCGATTAATACAGGACCAACCGTACTGCATGGTGACTAGGCCCTGAGAGATGCTGGTACGATGCACGTTATATAACTGATATGTATGTCAGACATTGTCAGTTTTTTTATGGTACGATTTTAATCATCGTGGCTGGAGTAAATTTTAATGAAAATTGTAAATACAAAACTGAACGCAGAGAATTGAAAAAAATAATGGAATCCAATTGACCATAGATGGTCTGAATGTCTAGATTCTTCAAACGGAAGATTTTTTAAAAACAAAGTGGCGAAAATAATTAAATAGCTATTCTCGTGCATTAGCTCTGAGAATATGGGAAGTGAAAGTTGGTAGACTAGCGAATATTGGTTCTTGTCGGCCAAACGAGAAACACGACCAGGAAAACATCTTTTAGATTTCAGCAGGATTTCAGTGAAGTAATTTCATTTATGAGATTGTGAATATATTTATTTCAAATTTCATTTCAATGATTCACAGAAAACCGGTTTTTATTAGTTTTATTTATGAAAATAAATCACTATCCCAAAAGATATGATTTCGTGTGATTACTGGCTCATGTTTCTATCACCCAATAGAGGGTAACATGGGAGCTGGGATTCGCCTTTTCTGGGCTGGGAAAATCAACTTTTATGGAATGTGAATGAGATTCGCAAAAATGGGAATGGGATTGAGACTTGAGCAAAAATTATCCTGGACTATGGAATTTGATCAAAATGGGGGCTGGGAAATGGGATTAGGAACCCCCATCAAGACCCTCCTTATAGATAAACATCTGAGCAGGATTTACATGTATTTACGGATAATTAAAGCATTCCGATTGACACCGAGGAAAAAATGCTTCTTTAGCAAAAGTAATCCGCAAAGACAGCAAATTTGATGATGATGGTTTCCTGGGCCAGAAACTGTTGGAGTCTCTTTTATCAGGAGCTCTGTGGATGTGAGGGGATGGGGGATTCAAGAGACATTTGCTCTGCATGGCCTCAGCTTTGAGTCAGACGATATCTTTGTAACGCAATTCATTTAATGTTATTTTGTGTTTAGCACATAAGGACAAATGCATGTTGGTTTTTGAGGTTTTTGTACTCAAGTAGCGTCATCAAGTGTAGCTTTACGCACTAGACTCGCTACTATTGGATATCGCCAGCCTGTATAGACATTGCGCAAACACTGAAAGTCACAGTTACTAAACTGAACAGGTCAGTCACGGGACTAGGTAAGCATCGATAACCGACTGAACATAACAGCAGAGAACATACGTTCATCATGCCAGTGTACAAACTTCACTACTTTAATGTACGAGGTCGTGCAGAACTAAGCAGACTTTGTTTTGCTGCTGCTGGGGTTGATTATGAAGACTTGAGGCATACGCCAGAAGAATGGCAGCAGATGAAGAAAGGTAAATCAATCTACTCCCCGGGCGTTCGTACTCGCTCAGATCCTAGGCCATATACTGTCTGCACGCCCTGCAGTTTGGCTTACAATATTGGATTAACATTAACATTACATTTATGTATAAACTGGAATACTTTTCGCAAGTCTCAATGTAAAAGTTTCCTTTGGAAATATTTGTCAAAAGAGGACGCTCATTAATCATTAAAGAGTCGTGAACGCCACACAGCTGCATGCCCAGATAGATTTGGAATTCGTGAATAAACAGTAGACGAGGAACTAACTTTTTTTACTTGATTTAAAAAAAATTTTATTATTAATTTGAATGGGTAGTCACGTGAACAAATATATTAGTCTTGGGATTAGTAGTAGGGGATGGTGTCCAAGGAATCTAGTCACGAACCAACATTATTTGCATAATAGATAACGTGACGCCATTGGGTCAACTGCCAATGATGGAAGTGGACGATGAAAAGTTTTCTCAATCGATGACCATATTTAGATATGTAGCAAGACAAACAGGTTAGTAATACAATACAATGGTACCTCAAGTGGACCTTCACTAATAAACGAACATCCTTTGTTAAGGCGGACACTAGCTCGGCTCTCAATCTTTCTGCTATATTTACTATAAAGTGAACCTCTATTCTGCAAACACTAAAATACAAGATCATTTGGTAATTTCTATTGTAAGAATTGTATTCTATTGCAGTCCTAACTCATTATCATGTTCCCCAGGTTAGCCCGCGCACTCCGACCCTCTCTGACGGGTACTGAACATCGGATAGTTGCCACCAATGACTCCATAAGTGTAAGTGTAATGACTCCATAGCTCTAAATATATTGTAAGCTTGATGTGTTGTTCTACCAGGTCTCTGTCCCACGGACAGCCTTCAAATTGCCAAATGTGACATGATCGTTGATACAGAGAACGACCTTGCAGCTAAACGCATCAAGTACTATTACGAAAAAGACGAGAAACTGAAGGTAATATTTTGAAGAAAAAAAGGGAGATGTATGGTAATAAGACAGACAGGTGGTATCAACATTAATTTATCAACATCTGTTCTTCCATAGGAAATCTACAAAGGAGAGTATTTTCAAACGTACTTGCCTGAATTTGTGTCCAAGATAACAGGTTTGCTCAAGAAAAACAACGATGGAAAAGGATTCTTCATAGGAGATAAGGTTGGTTGATAAGTTGATCAATGCATATTTGATAACATTATTTAATAATATTTTCATACTTTAAGATGACGTATGCAGATATCGCAGTGTTTAACGTCTGTGATACATACTACTCGTACATCACTGACTATCCGGAGTTGAAGGCACATCATGAACGAGTTGGTAAAGTACCTGGGATAAAGGCATGGTTGGAAAAGAGACCCAAAACAGACCTATGATATATGCCTATACTTGTGTGTATAGGATCTATGGATGTGTAACAATTGATTGCAAATGAAAATAAAATCACATTCAACTCACATTTGTTTGTCTCCCGTTTTTTTGATCCCGTTTTTTTTTTCTTTTTGTCGGATCAGACATGCTGGATGTTACATTGTACAATAGGCCCTTTGCAGCTAGTGGTCACGTGCTTGGATACCGCTTAGCAACACAAAACTGGAGAGCAAGCCTTCCAGTAAACAAAAGTTGTAATAGGTCAAGCACGCGTGGTTTTATACGATAGTTTCATCGTTCAAAACGCTTAATCCTTTTGCCCTATCTACAAA